TCGCGATGCTGAGATGGACATGCAGTATCATGACGTTATTAAGGATATTACATTTGTTTAAAAAAAAAAAAAAAAAAAAAAAAAAAAAAAAAAAAAAAAAAAACTTTGAACTCAATTTCTGTAGTAGTAACTTTTTTGTACATATGTTCGTGTTAAAAGGAACGAATTATAAGAGATTTTCAGCTGGTTTGTTAAATTTTTGCCAGGCCCGACCCAATGAATTTTCATAAATACAGATGCAGAAATAAAGGCATATCTGTATATATCTGATAGATATACATTTAACCATCTCTTTGTCGGGTTGATATGCATGTCTAAACTGATAAATATGCATTTATTTCTTTATTTATACATGTCGAGTATACGAATATTCTTTGGGTCGGGCCTCGCGCAATTCTAACAAACCGACCGATATTCACCGTTGCGCATACCTGTAATTAACCAAATACTAGACAACCTAACCCATTAATCCCTCTTTGCAGATCTGGATTGGGATTCCAATCGTCTTCTTCTTCATCTGTCTGTTCCTCGTCGTCTTTCCTATAGTGGAGCGCCCCGTGGAGCTGGGTATCGCCAGTGGCATCTTCTTCGCTGGAGTCCCCGTGTATTACCTGTGTGTTCATAGGGCGAATAGGTCCAAGAAGTTCTGTGCATTTATGGGTAGGTTTTTATTGTATTTCTTAAGATAAAATGAGTTTGTTTTTTTTTTTTTTTAGAGAGGGAGAGGGAGAGGAGAGGGAGAGGAGAGGGAGAGGAGAGGAGAGGGAGAGGGAGAGGGAGAGGGAGAGAGGGAGAGGGAGAGGAGAGGGAGAGAGAAGAGAGAGAGAGAGAGAGAGAGAGAGAGAGAGAGAGAGAGAGAGGAGAGAGAGAGAGAGAGAGAGAGAGAGAGAGAGAGAGAGAGAGAGAGAGAGAGAGAGAGAGAGAGAGGAGAGAGAGAGAGAGAGAGAGAGAGAGAGAGAGAGAGAGAGAGAGAGTAGAGAGAGAGAGAGAGAGAGAGAGAGAGAGAGAGAGAGAGAGAGAGAGAAGAGAGAGAGAGAGAGAGAGAGAGAGAGAGAGAGAGAGAGAGAGAGAGAGAGAGAGAGAGAGAGAGAGAGAGAGAGAGAGAGAGAGAGAGAAATGAATGTTTTTATCAAGTGAAATATGATGTATTTAAGTTCTGACATAAAAAGACGGTTATGAATGACAAAAACGGTTATTTTGTTTATTTTATGATTTTGATATCCCAATCTGGCTTCCACCATTAATACAGCGAATCTGAATATTACAGGAAAATTTACGTCCGTTATCCAGCTGCTGTACCATGGACTTCCCGAAGAAGATGATGAATGTGATTGAAAAGCTTATTGTTAAGATATTATTGACAAATGATGATGAATGGCATCAAGGAAAGAACTGTAATTGGTGTAATTTGATTTATAACTTTACGTAATTACATGCAATAACCATAATATATATCGAGATGCGTGAAGTAGGCCTACATCTGTTTTGTGAATTTAATAATTCTCATTTATTTCTTTATTCATCTTACGTGAGAATTAAAGATCTGGCGTAGAATAATTATAAGATTGAAGTAATTGTTGCAGTATTAGTGAAATTTCTTTCTCATTATTATTAGTATTTTTTTTTCTTTTTAATAGTAATAGAAGTAGCAGTAAAAGCAGCAGTAGTAGTAGTAACTGTAGTAGTAGTAGTAGTAGTAGTAGGTTTTTTTTAGTAGTCGTAGTGGTATTAAGTTAGATTTAAGATGAATATTTGCCTTCACTTATTATTTGAAGCTTCTTGTTACTTTTGCCTTTGAGAAATCTCTCTATATTTCTACAATTCCTTTCTATAGTTCAATAGATATTACGTATTGTCTCACATTCCAGTGTAAGTGTTCACCAACATATGGCTCATAATACTTAATGTGAATAAGTGTATATAAACTTCACATATGCTGGACAGTTATCGTTTTAGATAACTTCCCACTACACGAGCATCTTGTGTAGGGAAAGGCTAGATCAGTAGCAACTCGAGGAGGTGTCATGGCGTCTGATTCCATTTTTGGAAAAAAAAAAAAATGTGGGCTTATTTTGATGACGTCACAAAGTTACGGATGCATTATGAATATGGCGATCTTTTTGGTCTCTTCAATTTTCAAAAGGGATGGAAAACAATGATTTTAATTGTTATATTTTTATTGAACAATCATCAAAACAGACGCCATGACACCTCCTCGATTTGCTACTGATCTAGCCCTTCCCATCTTGTGTACTGTGATCTACATTACGATCCTGTGTTAGATATTACTGCAAGTATAGTCGTACAAGATATAATATTAAGCCGAAGTTATTGTCAGTATATCCGGAGAAACAGACAATAATTATGCATTACTGGCAGGAGTATTCCATTTGTTCTGTGGTGTTATGATATAGTTATTAGCTGATATGATCATGGGCGGAATTAACAAGATTTTTTGCTGGTTTTAGTTTTAGTGCGACGAAAATTCTTGGAAAACCGGTTAAAAGTTCAGAATATGCAAGATTTTCGTTTCGTCCCGCAAAAAAAAGTAAAAATAAGTAAATGAATAAGATAATAAATATACGATTTTCAAATAAGATTATCAATAAGAAAATATATTAAACAAGAATTCCCCGCAAAAAAAAGTAAAAATAAGTAAATGAATAAGATAATAAATATACGATTTTCAAATAAGATTATCAATAAGAAAATATATGAAACAAGAATTTCAAAGCCAAGTCAAAATTCTAGAAGGAACACTATTGCTTACTTGAGCAAAGTCAAACTTTGCCCATAAAAGTAAGTAATAATGACAAGAAAATGTATGTGCTAGACATCAAAGGTCATATAGCACTAATTGCCCATACAAAGAAGCGGGATTTTTAAAGTCGGAGGATGTGTATCAATCAACCCAGCTTTTATATATGTATGCCATTAGAGATTTTATATATGGACTAGTGACTGGTATCATTGTACGTGCAGGACAGCTATGAAACAAATAAACTAGCGCATGGACCCAGCTACCTAACCAGACACTCACACTCAACCCATTAACACAAACGCACACGCACACGCGCGCATACGCACACGCGCGCACACACGCACACGCGCACACACGCACACACATTCACAAACACACACACACACACATTCACAAACACACACCACACACACCACACATTCACACATTCACACACACACACACACACACACATACACACACACACACATACACACACACACACACACACACACACACACACACACACACACACACACACACACACACACACACACACACACCACACACACACACACACACACACACACACACACACACACACACACACACACACACAGAACCCAATTCAATTAAGCTGTATCTGCCGCCCATGTACGATGGCTAAGCTGTTTATATAATACAAATACTACAGCATTCCTGTGGAATTTATTTCTGAATATTGTGGCGTTATCGTTCACAAATTACATTATTCAGTGATAATGTCTTTTTGGTGCTTTTTGTCCTTTACTTTTGATTATCTTTGTCAGATCTTTTAAATTGTTGATATTACTGCATTCTTAATAAAGTGTTTCAGATAATTCCCAGGATTGGTTATTCTCCTTATAAGTTTCTTTTGATTTCCGAGTCAACAAGCAGGTATATATGTGTGTATGAGCGAGGGATATAAAGAGAGAGAGAGGGAAGGAAAAGGAAGGGAGAGGGGGGGAAGGGAAAGGGAAGAGGAGAGGAGAAGGAGGAAACGAGAGCGAGGCGAGAGAGAGAGAGAGAGAGAGTAGAGGGAGAGAGAGAGACAGTATGAGTGTGTGTGTGTGTGTGTGTGTGTGTGTGTGTGTGTGTGTGTGTGTGTGTGTGTGTGTGTGTGTGGTGTGTGTGTGTGTGTGAGAGAGAGAGAGAGAGAGATTGAGAGTGAGTGAGTGAGGGAGAAAGAGAGAGGTGAATTTCCCGAGAAGGCCTCCTTTGAAGCTGAAGGAATTTTATCTTCATTCACAACAGTAAAACAGATTAAACTTACTACATAACACTGACCAATTTCTTAACTAGGAAGTCATCTGCACTGTCACATATAATATAAACTCAGTTAAGTGTGTGTGAGAGAGAGTGAGTGAGTGAGTGAGTATGAGTTTGAGTGTGTATATGTGTGTGTAATAATGTAAACTTTCAATTAAAAGATTTACCCTAATATTTTCCAAAAAAGCAGGCATGTACACTGATTTTTCATCTTCATGCCAACAGGCATTTTGCATAGATTTTATAATTGTAGAAACATTTATGCATATTGAAATATAGTAATTTGGTTAGTAAAAATGCATGTCCATTGATTTCTTTCTTCCACATATATAAATAATAGAATTATCATTAGCTCACATTTTGTGTTTGAATTCCAGTGATATTCAAAGTGGACTGCATAAGATTCCACACCAATTTCCATTATTCCAAAACCTAAATTCTAGCTAAAATTGTTCCTATGACAGAAAATTTAAATGATCTTTTCAAATATAAATCTTTTGGATTCTGCAACTAACATCTTCCACATTTCAGACACTAATATTAATTTAATTTGCCATCCAATTAATATATCCAGCAATTTCTATCATGTCTTGATAATCATTTATATTTTTTCCAACAAAAAAATTATTACATCACTACACGGAAAATAGCCCATGTCTGTACAATACTAAAAATAATATTTTTCCACCAAATCTTTACTCTATAAATAATTGATAAAATATATAAGAACTTTTTTTCTACATATTCCTAAATAATAATAATGTAGAATTATTTCCAGCGTCATTACTTGCACGGTATGGTTAATAACAGATTTGATACTGGAGTGTAAATACCAAATGCAATCAGTTTATATTGTATACTTAAAAGTTGCAATTCTCTCATGATATTGAAACTATTCATTCAAATCATTATATGTTAATTATGTGATATTAACAGACCTACACATGTATAATGACGGAAAATTTGTATCTAGACAACAGTGTGTTTAATCAGATGCCTCTTTTTATCAGTGTAAATTTCTCAAGTTATCAGTACTTTTGATTATACTCTAATTGAATTAAATCATCTTTTGGCATACAATGTACATGATTATTTACAAAGTAAGCATACTTAAAGGGCTAATGAACTCAAGACCCCTGAGTAACATATGGCATCCTAATATGTTTTGTGAATATATTTCTCTGAACAAAACATGTACCTTGTATATTGTGTATGACATATAGCATCTGTTTTTGATAGGTAAAAAGATAACTATAATCTATAATTCATATGAAAAATACCTCAGCATAATAAGCAATACCAATAAGTAAAAAGAAAAAAATCTTATTATTTACTTTTATTGATACAAAATTCTTACCTAACGGCTACACATTCCATGTAAAAGCATTAGTCTAGTCTCAGATTTCTTTTATTATATACCCCTGAAATAATTTAGTAGATCTGGCCATTATGTAGACTGCCCTAACTTTAAAAACTGCTAATTGAAAATCTATCACATTTTATCATTCCTATTATTTGATATCATAACAATTCATGTTTGATAATGGCACTAATTTAAGAAACTGATTTTGTAAATTATTTTATATAAAATAACTGATAAAATAGTATAAAGAACTTTTTTCTACATATTCCTAAATAATAATAATGTAGAATTATTTCCAGCGTCATTACTTGCATGGTATGGTTGATAACAGAGTTTGATACTTGAGTGTTAAATACCAAATGCAATCAGTTTATATTGGTATACTAAAAGCTGCAATTATCATGATATTGAAACTATTCATTCAAATCAAGGTATATGTTAATTTGTGATATTAACAACCTACACATGTATAGTGTCGGAAAATTTGTATCTAGACAACAGTGTGTTTAATCAGATTCTGCTTTTTATCAGTGTAAACTTCTCAAGTTATCAGTACTTTTGATTACACTCTAATTGAATTGAATCATTTTTTGGCTTCCAATGTACATGATTATTTACAAAGTAAGCATACTTAAAGGGCTAATGAACTCATCAAGACCCCTGAGTAACATAAAGCATCCTAACATGTTTTGTGAATATATTTCTCTGAACAAAACATGTACCTTGTACATTGTGTATGACAAATAGCATCTGTTTTTGATAGGTAAAAAGATAACTATAATCTATAATCCATATGAAAAACACCTCAGCATAATAAGCAATACCAATAAGTAAAAAAAAATCTTACTATTTACTTTTATTGATACAAAATTCTTACCTAATGGCTACACATTCCATTTAAATGCATTAGTCTTGACTCAAATTTCTTTTATTATATACCCCTGAAATAATTTAGTAGATCTGGCCATTATGTAGACTGCCCAAACTTTAAAAACTGCTAACTAAAAATCTATCACATTTTATGATTCCTATCATTTGATATCATAACAATTCATGTTTGCTAATGGCACTAATTTAAGCAACTGATTTTGTAAATCTGAAATTAAAGATTATTCATGAAAAGCCAGAGATGGAGCTTTCATAAGAACAATGAAACAATAATTATATGGAGATTTCATAGGTGTAAGAGTACGTTCCAATGCAATATAAAAAAATCTATATAAAAATTAAGTACACATTCAGCACTACAATCTTCTATGTGTAAAAGACATATAAATTTTCCTAGTGACACTCTAGACCAGAGGTTCTGATAGTCAGTCAATCCTTAGTCATCACCCTTTAACCCAAAGCCTCTGCAAAAATGCTCTTTTCACTTTAGTATTGTTTTGTGAAATGTCTCTGGACATAGTATTTCACTTTGACACCTTGTGACATCGCCTAATTTCACCTTCGCTTGAGTTTGCGAGAAAGATGTTTTTTTGAATAATACTATCAATATTGATGAGTTACATAATTATTGACATTAAGACTATTCTAGCAATATTTGGAACTAGATTTTTTTTTTTGAAAATCAAGTAAAAAGGGTAGACTGGTGAGTTAGTATTAATTGGTTCATTGGTGACATATACTATTCTAGCTATATTTGATACAAGAAAATATTTTTGAAAATCAAGTAAAAAGGGTAGACATTGGTGATATAATACTTGTGGAGCCATCTACGTGTAAAAACAATTAATAAATTAAACTCACAGTGGGCATGGCATGTACAAACATGCTATCCCTGGCGGCTTTGGTTTAAGCTTTGCCATACCAACCTCTTACAATTCTTACAGTATATTTATCAATATACAGCTTGAAAATTAATAATGATACTGAATCTTATGAGTGTAGCATGATTCTAAAATAAAATAAATTCATCAAATAAATAGATATGAAAAAAAATATTAAGAATGAGTTGCACGGCAGGTGCCCCTGAAATGGGAATCTCTATTTCAGAGTAACTCAGTTGAAGGTTCTCAGCAACTTGGGTTCCTTTGTTTCCAATGAAAAATGAATATAAAATCTGAACAAATTTATACTGCTTGGTTAAGCATCAAATAGGCTATACTTTTGTCAGCGCAGGACCAAATTTCCAAAGACTGGTATTTCTTTTCTTCCTTATACAAAGAATAGCCTGTGAAGTTGAAACCAGTAAAAGAAATAAAAAACAACTATTTTCTCATCTTCATACACTAATGACTTACCTGATACATAAATTTTAATTAGACGATATTGACAACAGAGAAATCACTAGAAAAACAAAAGAAGAAAGAAAGAAAAAAAGACATGATTGTCTAATCTTATAGTATTAAAATTCAATTTTCTCTTTATTTTAAACTATAAGCATTATTACTGTGAGATACAGTAATGCTGCTACTTGTTTCTTGCTATTTGCATTAAATGAAAAAATCCTATAATAATGACGTTATATCACACATCATACTGTGGCTGTAAGTCATTATAAGACACTGAATTAACAATACATACACTTTAAGAACCTACAATCATTCTCTCTTCCATTTAAAATTCATACACGTCAAATTAATTCCATATGAAGTAGATGCAACAAGTATACCTGCTGAAGAGTATATTATAATCCGAGAATGATGAGAGTTGTGGGGGCAAAAAATGCAAGAGCTTGTGATTGCAAAGGCAGATCTACAACTGAGCTATGCCACCTTCATTCATATACAATTGTTTGGGTTGTCTCAGTGAAAAAAAAAAAAAAAAAGATGCTGTATACATGAGGCAAAAAAATTGTGCCATCAATAAAATCGAGCTGTAGCTATAACAGAGCAGATTACAGTTATCTGAGAAATATATGATTTGTCTGAAATGATTTCTAATCAGACTCTATTAAATAATAAAAGGTTATGATTTCTAAGGGACTTAGAGGGTAGTTTTGGACACTGACATGAAAAATAATAAAACAAGGGGAAAACCTCCAAAAATATATTTTTTTTTATATATTAAACAAATAAATGTTTCATAGTGTAAGATAATATTATATTATAAAGACATAATCATAAAACAACAAAATCATTTATTAAGTTCCAAAATGTGCAGTTATAAGGCTGTATTGAATGTTTAACATTTAATGTTTGAAACAAATAAATGTGCTAGACATCAAAGGTCATATAGCACTATGGTATTGTGTCAGAAAGGGTAAAGAGGAGTTAAAGATTAGGGTAAAATGTGTTAGATGTCAAAGATTAGAGAGCATTATAGGATAGTATGGTAATGAAAAGGGAAAAGAGGGGAGTAAGTGAACTAGAGCAGAGATTAATAGAAAGGGTGGGGTGTAGGAGGTAGAGCATTTGAGTGAATTACAGTGTATCTGTCACTGGGGAAGGTATAGGAATAATGTGAGTATTCAGGTGGGAGTGGTAGAGAGGATGGGGTATGTGGGGAGGGTGTAGGGGGACGGGGGATGGAGGGAACTTGAGGAGGAGAATGGATATCTGCAAATACTTTACATGTAGAAGGGTTTATGGAGGGGAGTTGATGAAGAGGACTGAGAAACAAAGGTTTACTTGTGAGGAGGAGAAGAGGAGATGGATATCTGAGGAGCAGAGAAAGAACAAGGTGTAGAAGAGGATGTATTAAAGAGATGGTGCCTGGTGGTGCGACAAATAAAGTGAGGAGGAGAGTTAGGTATTCAGGGAAACTGGATTGGATACTGAAATTTAGGTGGAAAACAAAATTTTGATGGGGATAGGGTGAAGTTTGTAAGATTACAGGGTTAGGATTTATAGGGAAGAAGATTACCAGGGAGACGATTGCATGAAGAAAACATCGTGTGAGGGGACTGCAAGGAGCCGCGCACAGAGCAAGAGGAAATGTCTTTTGGAATAGAGTTTTAAGATGAGGAAAAACTTTTGGTTTAGTTTTCCACAACGCGATGAATGATGTACTATGAATAATAAAAGAGAATCAATAGAATAAGAAGAAAAACATGGATTTAATATTTATTCAGCATAGCCTACTAAAATAAAAAACTGAATAAGCATAGCTATTAAGTGTGGTAGACACATGGTCAGAAAAGAATGTATGAAATGAGCGTGCGTTTATTTTTTTTGTTTGACTTTGAGAAATTGCTTAAAATTTGTACTGTTCTTCTTTCTTTCTTATGTTAGTAGTAGCTCCGTTCAGTTTGAAATTGTATTATTACTATTCATGCACAAGAAAGAAAAAATTACTCTCACGTGAAGGAGAGAGGAGCAGACGGTATTTATCTGACATTTCCTTCCCTGAAAGGTCTTATGTAATGTATTAGTAGATAGATCTCTCGGTAAAGTATCTACTGAAGTCTTAGTAAAATATTCTACACGTTAATTTACCAAACGGCCCAAAGTACATGAACATCTCATCTTGAGTAAAACAAGTTGAGGGGAATAAAGTTAAGAAAAAAAAAAAAAAAGATAAAAAATGAAAGTATAAAACTAAACAAAAATCAAAACATTAAAAATACTACTTAAACTATAAACTTACAAACATTATAAATAAACATTTAGTCAACTAATATAAAACACCAACCACCACAACAACCAAAATTAAAAATTTATTAAAATATATATAGGAATAAATAAGGGAAAGTAATAAGATTATTAGGAAAAGAAAAAAAAAAAAGAAAAAAATAAGCACGGACATTGCAAATTTATATATATTTTAAAAACAACGATGAATAAGCACCATGAGGGAAAGCCTCTCCCACGTAAAATAAGTGAAGCTACTAATCTTCCAAATTTTTGAATCCTTACATGGTAATTCTCCTAAACCATAACTATTGCATATTTCCCCAGTAGTTGCTTTCCTTAGCGTGTATGCCAGCTACGGTAGAATAGATGCCCATATCCCGGACATAAACATTAACCATCGACCAAAATGTGGAAAAGAAGTAAACACCACAATTGTAATTAGAAGGGGGCTAGCAGACCCCGTTAATACTGTAATTTTGTGACTTCCTGCCTCATTCTTACACATTCACTTATGTTGAAGATAAATATTCTTGAAGACACTAAAGTATCGCATGTAAATAAAATTCTGAACAACCATTGGCTATGAGTAAGAAAACTAAAAAATAATGTGTGAAGTCAATACTCTAAATGAAAGTGGGAAGAGATAACTATCCACCCACGATCAATATGTCCTCTATAGCTGAGTTCTAGGTTGAATAACGTGTTATAAAATAGTTTTACGCAATACAGTTAATGTCTTAGTTCCCTCTATTGATAATTCAAGTTACAATTGAAACAAAATTATCTATAATACTACAAACTTATATACAGCGGTAGGAGAACATTTATGATATCTATAGGTCATGCAGTAAAATAAATTGTTACTAATACGTATATGACTCTATTCGGTCAACATCTTTTCAGTCTTTATCCTTTCTGCTATCAATTTAAAGACAATATTTCCTTTGGAGCTTATTAGTGAATGGAAAAATGTTGAAATATGACTTCTTTAATAGGTGTACAGTTGTAGACATAGTTAATATTCTAAACCATAACAAAATAAATGAGCTGGCAATTTCACATATTATAATTTAAAAGAAAGACAAGTTGAACTCATGAATTCAATTCTTTTCCTTTCTTTTATTGTTTTTTTTCTTTTTTTTTTTTTTTTAAACTCTTTTCTTTTTATTCTTTTTTTTTTTTTTTTTTTTTTTTATCTTTATAATTAATCTAACATATATATGTCTCTA